GACTAATTCAATTGAGATATTTATTAAACTCTTTTGAATTGAACAGTTGATCAGACTGTTTCAATTAAGAGATCTCTAAGTCTGTTTTCAATTGAAAAGTTGATCAGACTATTTCAAAAGAAGAGTCACAGACTTTTATGTATAAAACACCTGATTTTTTTCACACTAGTTCAGTAACTAGGTTAGATTTTTGAAGAGAATCTAATAAACTAAAATTGATTTTTAAGATAAATCAATAAAATCTTTACAATCTCTTTCTTGAGATACAGTGAGGAAAAGTATGATATCAATTGATAGTAAATCAGATGATATGACAGTTTTTGAGAGAAAAACTGACAAAAAATAAATCAATTTTTTGAAGAGAAATTGATTAAAACTATTCAATTTTATTCTAAATTATCTAATTCTTCTCACACAACAGGTGTGCAACTCAAATCAGTTAATAAAGAGTGTAAAAAAGAATTAAGTATTAATAAAAGCTCTTCAGTCACTGAAAAAGTAATTCTTACTTAAAAGAATATGAAATTATGATAGAAAACAACTCTGTTTTTAATTCTTTGTAAGAATATTGTGTAAAACTCAGAGAAAAACATCTTACTTTTTTAAGAGAAGTAAAAAACTATTTCTAAAATCTTTTTTTTGCATTAACTGCTGCAGAAGAATGAGATAGAAACTGCTAAGATATGCACTACTATATACTCTCTATCAAGACTTTCTCTCTTCAGAGTCTTGATATTATAGAGAAAATAAGTCTGTTTCTATATAATAATATAAATATTGCCAGCGGGATGTAGAGGAACTGGTTATTTATATCTTAAAATAGAAGACTTTGTCAATGATTATATCAATATAGAGTTAATTCTTAAATTCAATAGAAATCTAGTGTTGCTGTTCTCAATTCCTTGCAGAATCTATTGAATATTGAGATATTAAAACTAGATTTAATATATCTCACTGTGCAGGGATCAAAGGCTCAGTCAGATCTTGGGGTATACTGATTTTATAGTTGTCATGTCTGCTGATTATGTATTGAGTACAGTTGCTGAGGTATCTTTTTGTACTTTTCTGTCGGGGATGGGCCAGATTGAGAGGGGTGGTACGAGGGCGAGACTTGGCGTTGATGTCCAGATACACCGAAGACAGACCGCGGAGGTTGCACTTCAGAAGTGGCTGTTGGTTATGTGCTTGATATTATCGCCGAGGTATCTTTTTGTATTTTTCTGCTGGGGATGGGCCAGATTAGGAAGGGCGGTACAACGGTGGGACTTGGCGTTGGTGTTTTGGAACATCAAAGATGGACAGGGTTTTCGCGGAGGTCACTTCTCAGATATCTCCACAACTACAGATCGGGGATCTTCCAAAATCGAGAAGATTGGTGCATATGGCTAGGTCTCTTCACCTTACAATTTGTATGGCACTTTGGCCCGGGGTTGTGGTGTGATAGGGGAGAACGGGGGATACTCCCACACAGGAGTTTCGAACAACGTCCGGTTCACGTTTGGCTGGATAACTCCACCACCACACAGGGTATGCGGTCGGCGATGGGGTCAGAATGCTCGTATGATCGAGGGCTTTTCGATGGATCTATCGGCGGGTTCTTATTCGAAAAATCGAGCGAGTTCGTGGTGGAGCGGTTGTCTAGTTAATATCATGTCTGGTCATAGTTTGTGTGAAAGTGATTGAAGAAGCTGCAAAGAAAATCTTTATTAAAGCAGATATCAATTAAATTCAATTTGATATGAATAAAACTGAGTTAATTCATTTCTTTTCTAGATTCAATAAGAAAGAACTATCTCTAACTCTTTTAAATAGAGAGATTAAACCCAGTGTAAATGTCAAATGATTAGAAGTATGGTTAAACTCCAAGTTAAATTTTAAATATCACATTCAACAAAGAACTGTCAAGACAGAAAGGCTATTAAACAACATAATCAGACTATCAAATACAGAGAGAGGTCTATTCTTCCAGGCTATGAGACAGTTATTTATATATAGCCTGTATTATTATTATTATTATTATTATTATTATTATTATTCTTCCATTATACTCATATGCAAGCGGAGCTTATGATGAGTCCTTGCGTGATGTTAAATACAGGTCAAGTGTTGATTATACAGGAGGAAATACAGGTGTTGAGACCATGCCAAGATAACAAGAACATAGGAAATACAAAGGAGTGACAATTAGATACATGCGATAATAACTTCCCAGCCCAGGAACATAGAGCGATTTTATTGAAGTGATTTGTACACCTCTGTATTTATTAGAAACCTGAGATGCTTGAGTTCCGGATTTAATGTATTCCCTGCGGGTTTCGAACTCACACACCTTGGTTTCCCACGTCAAGGTGCTACCAGGTGGCCGCATTAACCATTCAGTCACCGGGGCTAGCCTGTATTACATCAGTAGCTGATTATAAAGTTTAAGTTTGATGAAATAATCAAGAGAATTTCACTGAACTCTTTCAAAGTCTGTAAAACAGAGCCTTGAGAAGAATTCTGAAAGCATTCAAGTCATCTTCTATTAAAGTAATGGAAATTGAAGCTTCAATTTCTTCTTCTGCTATTAGATTTGAAAAGACCTGTATAAACTATACTCTGAGAGTTATAAAGATAAGCTCAAATTATATAATCAGAGAAAGAGTCTCTTCTTCATTTTCATTAATTAACTCTGAAAATGAACTGAATTGAAATAGATTTCTTGATTGAAATGAAAATAATTCTTCAAAGAAAATATCTTCTCAACTGTACAGACTATACTCTCTGATTAAAAATCAATTTTCTTCTTTAAATGTTAAAAAAGTGAATTATGAGAAGTTATCTCTCTGAAGAGAAAAGCTTGAATCTCTTATAGACTTATAAATAAGTGAACTATTAAAAGAGAAAGAATATGAATAGTATTTGAAGAGAATTTCTACAATCAATATAAAAGACTCTATTCTGATTTATTCAGATGACTCAAAAAATGAGAATCTGAATAGATTAGACACAGACATTGCTTATACTGAAGATAATATCAATTTTATCTCAGATTTCTGAAATCTAGGCTGTGAATCTGAAGTCTTTGATACTGAACTATTTGCAATAGTGAAAGCTTTCAAACTCATAGAAATAAAATCTTATAAAAGAGAAAATAGTTTAAAAGAGATATGAATATTCTCTGATAGTCAAGCTGCTTTAAAAAGACTTAGAAATAGTCAGATTTATAATAATTAAATGAATCTTGAACTGATCTTAAACTCTGTTTTGAAAATTTAAAAGAGAAGAATATCAAAGCTGATAATTTATTTACACTGAGTTTCTGCTTATATGAATATTCATGATAATGAATTGGCTGATTCAGCTGCAAAAAAGAGTACAGAATTAAGCAGATCTATTCAAAAAGTTATATTCTGATCTTTTATAAAGAGAAAAATAAAAGAATCTTGTTTAGATAAGTGAAATAAAAGCTGGCAGAAACAAAAGAAGAGTATACATTATTCAAGATTTGAAACAAAACTCAAGTGAAAATCTTGTTCAATTAAATGTAAAAAGAAAATATTCTCATCTATAATACAGCTGAAACTAGAATATGGCTATTTCAAATCTTATATACAAAGATTTGATGATAGATTTGACTCAATAGAATGCTCATTCTGCAATGCAAATGAGAATTCTGAGTATATTGTAATACACTGTGTGTTATATAATAGTCTCAGAGCCAGATTGAAAGAGAAGTATGATCTAAATCAATTAAATATGAGATTCTTATTCTCAACTGAGACAGGAATTAAATACTTAATAGACTTTCTATCAGAAACTTAAGCAGCTACAAGAAAATGACTAAATTCAGAATTATCTGAATATGAAGAGGAGGAAATCAACTAGATATAGTCTGTTAAAACAGCTATATACTATCTTTTAATAATTTGTTTTGTTACAGTCTCTCTTTACTTTATCTTTTTCTTTCAATTTCTTTCTATCTATCTATTTAATGTGTCTATCTTTAAGACTGTGTTCTATTTCTCTTTTCCTTTATCATGATATTGTCAAATGGTTTCAAAGTATCAGAAGATGTTAAAACACTGCAATTTATAAATAGTTCTTATATTCTGAGCTGGAATTTTCTGATTTTGCATATCTGAAATTGATGAATGTATAATAGTTAACTTTACAGATATAGGAAAAACTCTGAGAACTAAAATTTCTCAGATAGATGTCATAGTCTCTGACTGCATACATCTATAATTGAAGAATAATAATAATAATAACTGTAGCTGTTTCTGTATATCTCTGAAAGCTGTTAATAGTTTCTTTATCTCTTTATATTTGATAAGTTAATAATATATTCTGATGCACTTCTTCTTTCATCATTATCATCATCATTATCATTATCATCATTATCATTATCATTATCATTATTATTATTATCATCATTATTATCATTATATCATTGCCTGTCTTCATCTCTTTCTCAATACTCATTAAAATTAATCATATCATTTCTTTTCAAATATTTTGCAGTCCTGCGGACTACCAAGGCGTGTGAGCACTGTCACAGATTGAAGAAAGAGGAGAAGAAGATATTCAAGTACAGAGAGACAGATCACAAGATACATTATAATACCTTGAAGAGACTTTGTAAGAAAGTAGAATAATAATGATTTTAAGTAACACTTCTGATAGATTTAGACTGAACTAAGTATAGAAATAATACAGATGACACTGCTCATGAGAGATTGAAAAAGAAGACAGTAAAGAGTCTCATACAGTAGTGATGAAATCAGAAGAAGTTCTGAGAATGATTTGAGATTAAGATAAAGAGAGAGAGGAAGAAGAAGAGCATTACTATAAATAAGCAGTAACAGAAGAAGATTGAGAAGATATTAAAGTGAAAGATAAAGAAGTCAAAACTGATAAGTTTTTTATTAAGAGATAATAATTTTTGATAATACTTCTGTTCTCTAATTGATTAGCAGAAGCTAGCAGAGAAGGGAATTAAAGCCTTATTCAGATCTTGAATGCACTTTATAATTCAGAATATTGAGAAGACAGTTCTACTCTCTAAGTATGTCAATCTGCTTACTGCTGAGATGGAACTCAAGACAGAAGATCAGAAAATGCAGGATTTTAAGATGCAGATTAATCTGACTGAGAGAGAGCAGCAGAAACTCTTCTCTGAGAAGGCAGCAGAGAGAGATTTTAAGATGATTATCATCTCAGATGAGAAGAAGAAGAAGAAGAATAAGAATAAGAAGTGAATTATGAAGAATGATAAGAAGAATGAGAAAGAGAAGAAAGATAATGAGTTGAAAAAGTTTTTTTCTTTTTATATTAGTTAGTTATAAGTTCATAACTATTAGTTAATAATTGAAATTAATTTTAAGTTTTTAAAAATTATTGTACAAGTTATAATCAATTTGTGGTTCAGAAGAACGTACGACTGTCGGATAATAACACAGCCGCTTCCGAACTACTAGCGTACGCGTATGAGTGTAAAGGGGCCATAGCGGCCGCTAATTAAATTAGTGTACAATATTACAATATATAAGAAGCCAGTGTACGCCTGTAATCATACACTGGCTTAAGCAATCTTTGAATTACATCTGGTAGCATGTCTAAAAACCAGTGAGAAGCACAGGCTTCTTCAGAGTGTGATAATTTCATCTACAAAGCAATTTGTAGTTATCATGCCAGTGTGGTTCTAGAAATGCCTCAAAAGATAGTGTATGAAGAGCAGTGAGTGAAAGAGCATCTGATTAATACTGCTTTGCTTATTGAGAGAAAACTTCACACTCAGATGCATGTCACATATGAGATGTGAATAGATGAGATATGAGAAAGAAAATGAGAGCAGTGAACCAGATTCAAAGAAGTTCACTCTCTACTTAAAAGAAGGATAAAAGAGAAAGTGATCATCACCAGAGTCATACAATAATAACAGAAATCATATAATGATATAGTGATATAACAATAGACATTATATAATTAACCAGAAATCACTGAAATGAATACCTTCTCTAATCAATATGAACAACACCCTTCTCTGCTATCTGAACTGAAAGATATACAGAACCTCTCAGAGAGTTTACTTAAAGCAGTAAGAAAAGCAGCTGAGATCACTGAACTGAAATTGAAGCTTCATACATGTATGAGAATTCTAAATGAGATTGAGGCCTTGCATACACAGTGACAGGCTGAGATGAAAGTTAAACAACAATTGACATTCACTGCAGATTAAGCATTCACTATAAAGAGTTTCACTGACACAATTATCATCATCAATAAGAATAGAGAAAATCAGATCTTAGATCTGCAGCAGAAGATTAAACATTTACACAGACAGATAACTATATCAAATCTGAAGATCTTATCATAATTATTCATGATCTCTTCAGAAGCATACACATCATCAGAGACTGCTGCACAGAATGAGAATCTGAGTATGAAATACATCAAGTCAGAAGATCTGCTGAAGTTATCAAGCTTCAATAGTAACTGAAAAAATAATGCTATAATCAGCTGACTAAGTCAGATGCAATCATATTATCAGATTGAATGTGAACTCACAGACAGACAGTTAACAGAATTTTAACAAGTTTTAAGATCTGCTGTGTTTCTATACAGAAAAGCAAAGTCATTATAAATAGCTGATGAAAAGATAAATCTTACAGACTCAGAGTGATATTCATTTTCATGAACATGAAATGAGTTTTTCAAATGAATCTTACACAACTTTGAGAAAGTGAATATATAAGATAAGTATTACAAATACTTCACTGAGTGTAGATAAGTGAGCAATCTTACATCATACTTCACACACTTCAGCTTACACTATCTTACATTGAATGAAGAGCTTTCAATCTCTTTCTGTTTACAGATCTTCATTCATGATCTTACATCTGAGTTGAGAGCAGAATGAAAATGCTTAATCTCACAGTCAGACACAGTGAAGAAAGCATATAACATTCTCATTATACAGAAACAAGCAAGTCAATTGCAACAGAAAATACTGCAATTGAGTATACTTCAGTGAAGAACAGATAATCAGACTTCTATAACACAAGTCACACACTCAGATGTAATGAATCTAGATCTGAATATCATCACTAAAGCACTGAATTCTCTGAAAAAGGAATTCTCTGAGTGAAAACCTTGATATTATAAGTATCAAGCTTGCTTCAACTGCAGATGTCAAAATCATGATGCAAAAGATTGCACTCAGCATGCACAGTCAAGAGAAGCAAGAGAGTCAAAAAACTAGCAGAATCAGTGAGTTTGAAGACACTTGCTGATATTCTATGAAAAGTCTTCAAAGTGAAAGAGATGCCTGTATTAGATGACTCTCTGAATTCTGTGAATGCAAAGAAGAAGCAGGCTTCTAAATAAGATACAGGCAAGAATGAAGTGAACACTCATCTTAATATCTTAAAGCCTGAAATGTTAATGTATAGAGAGCACTTGAGTAAGAATTAAGAGATGACTGCAAAAGTGTTAGCAGATACAGAAGCTTCTACACAATATATTAATAATTATATGATTTGAAGATTGAAAGAGATTCACTGAGTGAAGAATTCTCAATGCATAAGATTATCTGATAACTGATATTTGATATTATCTGCAAGAGTAAGAGTTTCCTTGCACTTCAGAAAATGATCTTGCTATATTTAAGTGTGAGAGCTGCAGAACATGAAATACAATCTTATTCTCAGACTCAATTGATTTCAAAGATTCAATCTGCAGATTCAATGATGTACATGTCATATACAGTTAATCAATAGAAAGAAAATGGTTTATACAATTCTATCAACTGATATGAGAAGGACATTTCACATTTCTGATATAGAAGAGTTAAATCTGCTTATACATTAACAAGTAAAGAGAACAATTCATAAGATCTTATCTGAAAGCATTCTGTATGTCATACAGAACTCAGAAGTGAAGAAAACCAAGATAAAGAATATACAGAAGAACAAGTATATAAAGAAGCTTCTGAAGAAGTATGAAAAGATCTTTCAAACAGATCTTTCACTGAAATTATCATCAGAACAAGGATTTGTACATGAGATTGACACAGAGGACACAAAAACAGTCAATCAGAATGTGTACTCTCTGTCACAAACACATCTTGAAGAACAGAAGTGTCAGATCACAGACCTTCTAGAACATAGTCTTATACAATTCTTATCAAGCATGTGAGGCTTTCCAGTTCTATTCATGAAAAAGATGAGTGAAGAGTGACAGATGTGTATCAATTATTAAGCACTTAACAAGCTTACAATCAAGAATGAATATTCACTGTCACAGATTCAACAACAGTTGAATACAGTCAGAAACACCTGATATCTATCAAAGATCAATCTTCTCTCAGAATACTGACAGATCTGTGTAGACAAACTGTCAGTCTCATGAACTATGTTTAATATATAATGAGAGAAGTTCAAATTCCTAGCAATGCCATTCAGTCTGACAAATATGTCTGTCATCTTTCAAATGATGATGAATATAATTCTTCATAAACAGAATAGAATCTCATGTCTTATATATCTCAATGATATTCTAGTCTTTTCAAACTTATATAACAAATATCTGAAGCATCTCAATGAAGTGCTTATAACTCTGACAGAGTATAAGCTCTATATCAAATCAATCAAGTGTGTGTTTAAAACAGAAGAGTTGAAGTTTGTAGAACATGTAGTAAGTGATGACTGTATACACCTCATCTCAGAGAAATTGAATATCATAGTGAATTGATCACAGTCAAGAAATGTACATTATATATGACAGTTTCTTAAGTTGATCTCATACTACTGCAGATTCATCAAGGATTTTGCATGAATATCTGCATCACTCTCAGACCTCTTAAGAGAAACAGATGCAAATCTGTGAAAGAAGAAGTTTTATTCAATCATCTGAAATGTCACATGCAAAGAGGCTTTTCTCACACTGAGAGAATACATAATAACATTCTCAGTGCTTATTCAATCAGATTGTGATAAACCTTTCTATATCAAGACAGACACATCTGAATGAGCTATCAGAGACACTCTTCTACAGATGAGTAAGAACAGCAAGCTGCATCTGATGACATACAATGATAGAAAACTATCAGATACTGAGCTTAATTACTCAGTACATGAAAAGAAATTGCTAGCAATCAAGCACACACTGACATTGTGAGATAGATATATTGATAACAAGCATATGACAATGATGATCATGAATCACAAAAGTCTTGTCTATCTATAATCAATAATAAAACCTTTCAAATGCTTAGCATGTTAAATCTCAGAGTTCTAAGCATACAATCTTCATATCAAATACTGAAAAGAATCAGACATAGTAATACTGAATGCAATCAGTTACAGACTCAATTTCATGAGTGAGAGTTCTGTAAACCAGGTATAAGAGATGTTTGTATTAAACACACTGAGAGAATGCAAGGAATCAGAATGAGTGAACATCATGATCTCTCACTTAAAGAATGACAAGATATTGAATGACAAGTGTCTCATGAGAGTAGTAGAAGAGATGCTTTCAAACTTCAAGCTGAGAAAATTAAGAAATGAAAACAATGTTGTGCTTTATTACAATCTAGAATATGCAGAAGCTCCCTATCTAGAACCTTCATTTAGACATGACTTAGTGACTTATATGCACAAGGAATTCAGCCACTTAGAAAGCCCTGAACTCATGAGTGTACTCAAATCAAGAGTATACTGACTAAGTATGACTGAGAATATTCAGATGTACACTTATGAGTGCCTGAATTGCCAGGTTGTGAAAGAATCTAAGAAAGAATTAGAACACAAGAAAGTGCAACATCAGATGAAGTGTACAATACAATCATTTGAACAATGAGAAGTGAATCTCATAGACATATTGTCACAAATGTCAAATGAAAACTGATGAATAATCACTGCTATTGATTACACTACTGGCTGACCAGTCACAAAAGCAGTTTCAGAGGCAATAGAGAAGATGATGATGAAGTTTCTATATGATGAGATCTATGTCAACTATGAAATGCTGTGTGAGATTCTAACTGATAATGATGCAAATCTCATGAGAGAAGCAGTGAGGCATTTCATGAGCCAGTTACAGACAAGATATCATAGAACAACATCATATCATTCACAGACAAATAGAAAGATAAAACACTTGAATGAAATCTTGAGTAACATGCTGACAAAATATCTAGTGAGTAAGTCTATGAGACTATGAAATGAATATCTCAGACAGACACTATTAATCACATGAATTCAGCAGCATGCAGTCTTCAAGCATTCATCATTCTACCTGTTGTATGAATTGCATCCGCGCATCTCAGAGAATGCTTCAGAAAAGATGAGAGAGGAAACAGCAGTTACAGATGCAGCAGTTACAGACACAACAGTCACAGACATGAAATCAAGATTGAAAGAGATCAATCACACACATGCAAAAGCTAACAAGTTACTCCTGAACTGAGCAATTCAATTGAAAAGAATATGAGACTCACTTATTAAGAAATTAAGTCTCAAG